CAGGAAATAAGAAAGGCATGTTACTTCAGAACTTTCACTCGAATCAAATATATATGGAACAGGAATTGTGGATCAAGATCTTGTTGTGTTGTTTCATGTTCAATAAGAAAACAAGACTAAATATAATCTCCCATGTAGAATGAAGAGATTTTGTAACAGAACATCCATTGTAAAAGGAGTGCAATGGTGCACTAAAGCAAACATATTGCCATATCTAGCCTAATGATACATGATAGGGCTTGCAATAATAGGTTGGTCATTGTTATGCTACTTTTCTTAATTAGAATTTGAATATTATGATTTAGAGGATAATGAACCACCTGTACTATTGATTAATTTGATATCCATACATAAGTAAGAGGCTGGCAATTAATGCCTATCAATTGCATGCTAAAATATTGCAGAATTTATTATAATGGTTAACAAGCCATACATGGATGTAACTTCAGGATTAATTATCTCCCTTTCTACAAGAGCAACAATGTTAATTGGGGGAGGGAAAAATTAATAACTCAAGACAGGTCGCCGGCCATTTTCTGGTCACTCTGATTTGTTGGATCCAAACCCAGTAGGACACGTACAGAAGCTGGTCCATAAACTCTTAAGTTGTTTGATTTGAAGTATTTTTGCAAATTCTGCAAAATAAAACTATAGATTATATGGTTTAAATCGGAAAGCACTGCTTCTTATATCGCAGGTCAATAAACCCAATAGTACTTCCGATAAAATGAATTTGTTGATACGCTTCTTACATTGCATCAGTTACTAGTACTACCACGCTACTGCTGGCGCTCCCGAGCAAGACAGGGACGAAGCCAAGAGAGAGGAGGCATAAAGAGAAACCAACAAGACCACCCAGCGAGCGCGCCGAGGTTGCCAGAAGTCAAAGCAAACGTTTCTGCTGCTGACGCTCCCGAGCAATACAGGGAAGGACGGTCAGCAATATAGTGTGGAAGAAGCCAAATACTAGGAGGCATCAAGAGAGACCGGCCAGGAGACTGCCAGCAGCAAGCCAGAGGTCACGCAGACGGGCGCTTGGTTGCGCCAGCACTGTGACAGAGGAGAAACACCACCCTCTCATGTATAAATAGGAGCAAACCAGAGGTCACACAACATCCAGAACGAAGATATCTTCCTGCCTCCACTTCCTCTTCCTCTAGGCAGCCTGGGAGAGTGAGTGAGGAAGCAAGAAATTGGTAACAATGGATCTAAGTGACAACCAGATTCAGATCCTCGACAGGTTGATCAAGCACCATTTCCTATGGCTTATTTCTCGTATCATATTTTCATGGTGATCCATGTACAGGGTATTCAAGGTTTTCTTTTTCGTTTTTTGAAAACTGCAGGGCTTTCAAGTTGTGCCCCTACCCCAGTGAGACCCAGCACGCTGATCTCGGCCGCGAACTTGGCGTGCAGCCGCATCAGATTGAATTCTGGTTCAAGAACCGCCGTGCCCAGATGAGCAGGGTATGAACTCGATCTCCTCTCAATTTTTCCAAGGTTTCAGTTTTTTCCACCTGGTCATGATGGAATGTAATGGATCTCGATGTAGTGTTTGGGGTTGACGGCATGGCAGGCTAGGGACGAGCAGGTTGACAACCACTTATCCGACTCGGAGAACGACAAGATCGACTCGGAAAACGACAAGATCCACTAAGACAACTTCGCCATGTGGGTTTGTGGATTGAGGGCTGATCCATTGATGTAAACTTAGTGAACGCCCTAGGTTTTTTTCTCTTCAATCTGTTTGTTCCAAATAACGTGCCATAGACCTGCCTGCGAGCAGTCCATGTGTCAGGTTGGGGTCGCTCCCGTTTCTACCGCGTCGTGAACCGAGTCATGGGATGGCATGGCACATCGGATCACACGCGATAATAGTGGAGTTGTAGATCATGCACGCACGACCTGATTCGTGGGATGGCATGAGTCATTAGGAAGGTGGTGTGTGTTTAGGTCGGTCGTGCAACGACCCTTCTTTCTCTCTGTATTCCAAATAAAAAATCTGTAGCAAGTATTCATGGCATCAAATTCCATGTGTGCTCTGGGTTTGCTAGTGTGTATAACCTATGATGTGTCCAGCTAGTTGCGTGAGTAATCTTGGGTCACTGACAAACATTCAGTATCATATCCATGTGCTCTTGGCCATGTGGAGATGTCGGACAGTCTGAAGAAAAGTGCGTGGCAAGGAACGATCTCCAATGGCAAGGAGGTCAACCGCGGTGAACCAATCATGCAGTATGTTGTGCACGAGTTTGGGGAACAACACAATGGCCGATATGTTGACCCGGACGAACTACGACGACTTAGGTTAGGCAACAAGCGCGTGACCTCTGTACGACGATGGCCG